TCTTCTGACTTTATTTTTATGAACTCACACAGCAATGTCTGTTATTAAATTAACATATGTGATCACAGAAAATACATCAGCATGGAACTGGGACTTCTGCATCAAAAAAGAGCCCAACACCAGACTGCACAGAGCCTATGAACCAGGTGGGTTCCCACCTGGTTCCCAGGTTGGAAGACATGCTGTCCCCTCACTTACTGCACCTCTAAAATATATGCAATGCCATCGTTTGCCTGTAATTTTCAGAAATTAGGCTATAAACATTATGTACATCCCTTGTCCTCACCTATGCTTTTCTAAGCAGGCCATTAACTGAAAATTATTCCATATCTCAAGTAAATGCTTTGGGGTTTTTTGTTTTTTGATTGCTCTTTCCACCAGTCATAAGTTTCTATCCTGGATCCCTGGGCTGTCCAGCCCCTGCACTGGTTCCTGGCCATGCAGGCAGTGTCAGGATTGGGCTCCCTCTTATGGCATGGTTTTACATAACAAATGGTTCATGACCTCTTTGAACCAATTATTGAAGATTTTGGTTGGGAAGTCCCAGAAAACCCTCCCCCCACACAGCTCACTGAGCTTTTTATAGCACTGTTGAGTTACTTCTGTGACCAAATGGTTTCAGTTTCTCTGTACTTCACCCTACTATAAAAGCTACAGTGCTTTTCATCATTTGCTCACTTGGGAAAGTTCAGAGAGCAGCACAAGATTGCAGGAGGATATAAAACAAAAGAGGCAGAACACTTCCACCCATACTGACCACAAAGATCAGGTAAGAAGAGACACTTAACCTTGCTAGGTCTGGGGAATTCTGCTCTGGAACATGTGGCCAAACCCTGAGCAGGAATAAGATGGAGTTTTACCATGACTAGAAATTGCTGCTCCTGGGAAGAAGTGGAGTACAGCAGCCAATGAACCCTGAGTGGTATTATCAGGGCATCCAGTCTCTAAATGCCACCATTATACTAATTTTAAGTTGGGGCCTAGGAGACCTGTGACTGAAACAGGGCAGGATATGCACTGGCATAGTTTTTCTTTGTGTTAACCTTGTCTGTGCTGACAAAGACACATTTAAATGAGTATGGTTAGTGACAGAGCAGAGCTGTTAGAGAAAGGGCTGCCTGTGGCTTCTTTTCAAGAGGGAATCAGAATGAGGCCTGGGAAAAGCCTTGGTGAAGGACAAAGAGAGGAAATGCTGCCTTGCTATGGGAACACAAAGTGAGTAAGAGATGTAATTGATTCTATGGCTGAATATGAGTGACCAGTGGTCCCAAAACACAAGTTCTGTTTACCACACAGCATGTTTCACCTTGGCAAGTTTATTGAATTTTCTGTAGCAACAGAATGAAATAGTCATAGATCAAGATACTTTTCAAATACATTGGTGGCAACATGGGGCAGGCAGATTATGGCCATATGGGGGTGTTTGCTACAGGCCTTCTGATACAAGAAATGGCCAATGAGGCAGCTAAAGATAACCCAGGAAATCTGGCTCTAGACATTACAACATTCCAGATCTCCATAATCACACAAGTTCTAATTAGTCAGTCAACCTTGTAGATTCATTGACATTGTTATGGCTCTTTCCTGGGAACCTCAGTTCACAGCTGAATCCCAGAGTGAAAGTTGAAGGAAGGGCAGTCACCATCACACATCTAATCTTGGATGTCAAGTGAATTTCCTCCTTGACTGACTCATCTCTTCATAAGATTGGCTCATTCCTCAGGTCCATGTACTCCTTAACTCTATCCTGAAGGAACAAATCCTATAATGTAGACAAGGGCTTTCTAGAAGATTTCCAGACACACATAACTGAGGACAAAGTCTGATTTCCTTGTCCCCAACTCCAGGCCCTCAAGCAGTATTTCCTGTTTTCTGCAGGTCAGAACCCCATTCCAGAAACCATTCTCACTCATCACATTTTTCTTTGACAGCTTTGTTCTACCTGGTCAGATCCTAGCCTATCCTTCCAAGTGTTTTTCTTCCTACTCTTTGCAATTCTCATTTTTCTTCCAGATGAAGAGTATATAGAAAACTTAAGGGGAATGGCACAAAGTCATTGATGAAAACACCAGCTCCCCAATTTCTTGCTATTTACAACACTGTTGCTTTGTACAATATCCAGTATGTACATAGGTGGGTTTAGTCTCATGTGCTCTGAACTCAAACCCAGTTTTTATTCATGGCTCATTCAGAGTTAATAAAGCTTAGTTTTCAAGGCACTGTTCTTGTGTAGTCATTTGTCTGGAATAGACTCTGTCACGTATTTCTACAAATTTTGCAAAAAACACGTTATGTTGGTTCTTTTGCTGGAATGAGAATGTGATTAATTCTGTAGATACAGACTATTTTCCACATGAGAATTACTACCAGAATAGACAGAATGGATACATTTTACAATCTCTAGAAATTCTGGCCACAACATGGGTGTAACTATTCAGATGATAGAATGAATATATTTTATAATATCTAGAAATAATTGTGAGTATATGCATCAAACAATGAAGTGTGACGTCCATAGGTCTCTGTTTGTTATGATGTTAAATGAACGTTTGATTAGTTATATAAGCTGCAGTATAAGTTAATTTCTCTAAATCTCATATTATTTTCCATTTGATGGCTAGCACAAAAGAAGGTTGGTCAGATAGAATCATTGCAGGATCAAGACCTGGACTCTGACTTCCTGGCACAAATCCAGAGTTCTGTTCCTATGTTTCCAGCTGTCACAAGGTTAAATACCTTTCAGGAGGCATCAAGGTCAATGGAGAACGTGAGTCCCTTCCAAGTCCTTTTGTTCACTACCATGAGATAGTCATGGCCAACTTCTGCTTTGAAGAAACATAAACCTATTACTACTGTAATGTTAAGCTGGAGATGGTACCAACCTTTATAATAAATTTTGTCCATCAGTTTTCTTGGTGGGAGGAAGGAAAGGGGGTAAAAGAAAAAAAAAACCTTTTAAATTACTCTAGAAAACTGAATTCACCAGACAGCAACTAAACAAGTATGGCTGTCAAAATTTAGGTATAATGCAATAAAATTCACACAGAGCTAGTCATTTTCACATCAGTACATACATAAAGTTCTATTGGATGAGGCAATTTATTCTAATCAACCTGATGGAGAATTTCTGAATAGGAGTGCATGTTTTATTACTAAATTCAAATGAAATACTTACTATGGAGAGGCCTGCTGACACAGACAAACATGACATAGGTATGGATCCTGTTCTCATGGTGCTTGCATCGAACTGGACACAAACATTCCATTGACACTATTCATGTAATCTCTATCCAGCATTCAAAGGCTTTGGGGTCTCACACATCATGAGAGTATTTTGCATAGATGAAGGTCTAATCCCATAAACCTGAGGTAGAGGCTGAGGTGCTTCTGTCTGTCATTTTTCCAAATGATGCTAAGAGCACTGATGCTTTAAGTCATCAGTGATTGATATATCCAGAATTAAACAGATTAGTGTATTCATCATCCATCAGTAGCAGACATTGCCATCTGTTTGTAGGACTAAAGAGTTCGGTGGTAACCTATGTGACCACCATCTGCAGTGGGAGCCTGCCCTGCATAGAGAATGCTGTCCTGGCTTTGTCCCAGACAGAGAATGCTGCTGCAGTGCAGAAGGCCATTGCCCACTATGACCAGTAGGTGAGCCAGAAGTTGCAGCTGCCCACAGAGACCCTCCAGGAGCTGATGGAACTGCACAGGGCCAGTGAGAAAGCCATCAAGATATTCATGGATAATTCCTTTAAAGACGTTAATCAAGTGTTCATGACACAATTAGTGGTAATTTATCTCTCAAATTTACCTAGATGTAGATTTTGTTAGGCAATGTGCTATGAGAAAATGAAATAAGTGTTGGATGCAGGCATATGTTACTAGATTGCAAAGTAGTAATAACTACTTCTTAAGGTGTATAAAAGTCCACCATCTCATCTGAGAATCAAGGCAGCCTGTAATGTACAATGGCAAAGAATAACCACCCATATTTGCAGTGTTCAGGGAGATAAGAAGGAGAGTACCCACCCTAGCAAGACTCAACCCAGAGGGGCAAACCCCAAACCCTGTAGCTCCATGTACAGTATGTAGTGTATGTGGAGGTCTTTTCCAGACAACATTATCCCCCAGGCCCTACCTCTATGGTCCTGGTGTTTACAGGACACATGACTCTCTCTAGGGCCAGTTCCACTCACTGACTCGACTTTCCTCAGTGGACATCCTACAGTCCTGACATTTCTAACTTCCTGGGTCTTCATTTTTACTTCAGCTTTACCCTCACAGCCTTACACACAGCAAGCTCAGGAGCTGCATATGAGAGAGTGACCTAGCTACACATTTTCTATGGAACCCTGCTGCAAGTTTGGAGGTCTTGTGACTTGCATTCTGTGCATGTGAAAACTGAGTTTCTGTTGTATCTGATTGTGAGATCAGTACTAGCTTTGGTTTTAGTTAACTCCCCTGACATGACTATGCTGATGTTTTCAATAGAGATCTATTTTAATTTTACAGGCATGAATATTTTACCTGTGGACCACATACATGTCTGGCATTCACAGATGCTATAAAGGAGCATAAGGTTCCCTGAAAGTAGGGTTATAGACAGGTGTGAGCTGCTATGTAGGCTCTGAAAACTGAACTCTGGTCCTCTGCAAGAGCAGGAGGCACTCTTAACCACTGAACCCTGTTTCTAGATGGATTGTCCTAATTTTATTATCACTTTCAGGAAGCCCTTCTTCCTACATATCTAATCCCCTCTTTCCTCTCTGCTTTTCAGGCTTCTCTCTGGGTTCCACGGTGCAGTCTCACACCAAGGGGATCTGGATGTGGTGTTTCCCTCATCCCCAGAAGACAGGCCACACCCTAGTTCTGCTTGACACTGAGGGCCTGGGAGATGTAGAAAAAGTAAGGACTGGGGGCACAGTTTGCAGTTCATCCCCTCATGTTTGAGTATTCTACCCTGTTCTCTATGCTGCATTATACCTTATTATGTATTTAATTATTTAGTGTGTGTGAGTGTGTGCCTGTGTGTGCATAGCATGTGCCCTGATGCATGTCCCACCATGCAGATGTGGAGGTTAGAGGAAAACCGGTGGGGTCTGTTCTCTGTCCCACCATGTGCCTCTGGGATTGAACTCAGACTCCAAGGCAGGGCAGCAATAAAGTTTTAACTTAATCATAGCAGCATTTTCACATTTATTATATAACATGTGCCATATTTTGATGGGGGATGTCCTTCTGTACATATGTTTGTCTTATTGGTTGATGAATTAAAGACTAATTGGACAGGCAGGATGATCTGTAGAACTAGGAGGATTCTGGGAAGTATAGCCAGTGAGGAGTTGTCATGTGATCCCACGAAGTGACATAGCTGGGCATAAACTGCCACTAGCTAACCATTGAGGTCCTGAGGTCTGTAGAGATAGCAGAAATTGACATAGCTGGGCAGAATCAGAATATAAGCAGGGACAATTAGGAAATCACTCTCTTCTCTGTGGAGATGCTGAACAGTCAAAGTATAGGTTTGCAGAAGTGTAAGAGGTCCCTGGACCTTTCTCCTTTAAGAGAAGACCACATGGGAATACTTAGATTATTAGAAATGGGTTAGTAACTGAGACCGGGCTAAACAATAAGAAACCTTAGCAAATGGCAATCAGCTTTATAATGAATATAGTCCTGTGTGTTATTTGGTGGCTTGAGAGGCAGTGGGCCCCAGGTGGCTGGTGGGAAAGAGTACACATAGCAATGTTTAGCCTACAGAAATGAGGGAACTTGTCACAGGACTGGACTGTAGAACAGCAGGGCGCAACAGTGAATCACTCACAACAGACTAAGCAGCACCAGTGAGAATCATCACAAATAAAACCACAAATCACAAGAATGTTCACCCAGCAAGAGTTGTGGATGGCATCCTTAGTTTTATTTGTATTCCTTTTGTTTTGTTTTGTACATTACATAGGTCACACAGGTGTTTTGTTTCATTTTTAGGATAAAATCACTTCTAATTGAGTGTATTTTTACCACTGCTGGTCTGAAAGTGACAGAGAACCCGACAAACCCGTGATCCATGTGTGTTCTGACTTACAGGGTGACAATCAGAATGACTGCTGGATCTTTGCCCTGGCTATACTTCTGAGCAGCACCTTTGTGTACAACAGCATGGGACCCATCAACCAACTGGCCATTGACCAGCTCCAGTATCCCTTCTGAGGGCCAGAACAGCACCAAAAAAGTTGGGTGACCTACCCTCATGAACCAGCTCAGTCACTCTGGTTGTTGGTTAATGAAATAAACAAACAAACAAAGAAACAAACCAAAAATACCCTCACATATATGTACCTACAGTGTTCACACTTATGTTAGGAACAAGACAAATGAAGGTTAGGGCCTAGGTTCCAGAAAGATGTGGAATTACATGGAATGGGTACATTAAAACTTTGGTTGTTGCTATGGTTATTTCTGGGACTTTCCTTAATTAGCTGTGCAGCTATGTGACAGAACTGACAGACAGAATCAGATCAAGATCTTCACCTGACCAGGATGAGGTGGAGGACTCAGATGAGTTTGTGAGATTCTTCCCGGATTTCGTGTGGGCTCTGAGGGACTTCTCTCTAGAGCTGAAATTAAATGGGGAACCCATATCTGCAGATGAATACCTAGAGAATTCCCTGAAGCTTAAACAGGGTAAGAGACTTGCATCGACCAGATGAGGATGTCAATTAAACCCTCAAAAATTCAGATTTTTCTATGTATAATTTTTACGTATCTGCAGTTTTTAATTATTCTAGCTTGTTACTCCTGGGAATTAGTGCTTAACATATGATTTAATAGATTTACTCAAACATTTTCTCTTTTGTAATGAGAACAAATTTGTCTTTTACCTTTTCCTTTATAGTGATTTATTTAATCTCTCTTCTTATAACTTGTTTTTGTTTTGAAACAGGGAATACAGTACATATGAAGATATATTTGAAAATGGTAAACTGTTACCAGTATTTTAGCCCAAATGTTGGAACATAGTGACCCACAACTTCCAATTGTCGTTGGAAATCAAATGGTGCTGTACTCTTGAATTTATATGTCTACGAATCAAGTCCAGCTACACTAAGTGGGTTGAATACTTAGAATGAAATAATCTTTTTTTCCTAAGAAGCCTAACAAAGCAGTCAGCCTTCTGTTAGACTGAAAATCCTTAAAGCAAACATCATCCCACTTTTCTATTCTTTTGCTTTGTGTTTTCAGGGCCTCACTGTCTGACCTAGGCTGGGCTCAATTTATAATCCTCCTGCCTCAACTTCTATTATGCTAGAATTACAAAAGATCATGTGACTAAATTTAAAAATGTATATTCACCTTCCATGTCCTGGCAATAATAAATCCTATTATTGCTCTATTTAGGTACTGGTCAAAGAGATAAAGTAAAAGAATTAAATCTGCCTCAGCTCTGTATCCATAAGTTCTTCCCAAAGAAGAAATGCTTTGTCTTTGAGCGGCCAGTTCATGGGAGGAAGGTTGGTCAGATGGAATCATTGCAGGATCAAGACCTGGACTCTGACTTTGTGGAACAAGTGGCAGAGTTCTGCTCTTACTTGTTCAGCTCTTCCAAGGTTAAGATGCTTTCAGGATGCATCAAGGTCAATGGACCACGTGAGTCCTTTCCAAGTCCTCTTGCTCACCTCTTAGGCCATACTACCATGAGATATCTATGGCCAGCTTCTGCTTTGAACAAACATAACCCTATCACCACTGCAGTGCTAAGATGTAGATGGTACCATCATTTACAATAGATTTTGTCCACCAGATTTTCTTGTTGTGAGGAAGGAAAGGGGGTAAAAGAAAAAACTTTTAAATTATTCTAGTAAACTGCATTCACCATACAACAAGTAAGCGAGTATGGCTCTCAAAATTTAGGTATCAGAACAATAAGATTCAGACAGAGTTAGTCATTGTCATGTCAGCACACATAAAGAACTATTGGGTAAGGCAATTTATTCTAATCAACTTGATGGAGAATTTCTGACTGGGAGTGCATGTTTGATTACTAAATTAAAATGAAATGCTTACTACGGACATGTCTGACGACACAGACAAGCACGACAGAGGTATGGAGCCTGTTCTCATAGTGCTTGCACCAAAATGGACACAAACATTCCATAGACACAAGCCCATGTAATCTCCATCCAGCATTCTTAGCCTTTGGGGTCTCACAACTCTTGAGAGGATCTTTACATAGAGTAACGTCTAATCCCATCAATGTGAGGTAGAGGCTGAGATGCTTCTGTCTGTCATTTTTCCCAATGTTGCTAAGGGCACTGTGATTGACGTATCCAGAATTAAACAGAATACTGCTTTTGTCATCCATCAGTAGCAGACATTGTCATCTGTTTGTAGGACTAAAGAGTTTGGTGGTAACCTATGTGAACACCATCTGCCTGTGGAGCCTGCCCTGCATAGAGAATGCCGTCCTGGCTTTGTCCCAGACAGAGAATGCAGCTGCAGTGCAAAAGGCCATTGCCCACTATGACCAACAGATGAACCAGAAGTTGCAGCTGCCCACAGAGACCCTCCAGGAGCTGTTGAATGTACACAGGGCCAGTGAGAAAGAAGCCATCAAGATCTTCATGGAAAATTCCTTCAAAGATGTTAATCAAGTGTTCCTGACACAATTCGTGGTAATTTGTCTCTCAAATTTACCTAGATGTAGGTTTTGTTAGGCAATGTGTTGTGAGAAAATGAAATCAGTGTTTGAGACAGTCATATGTTACTAGATTGTAAAGTAGTAATAACTACTTCTTAATAATCATATTATTATTAAATCATATTTAATGGGATAAAAGTGGATTAACAGAGACTCAAAGCTTCAAAATATTTCTTCTTTCAAAATAAGTTAGTAACATTCCCCCTTCATTGACTTAAGTATAGAGAAGTAATTTGTGTGTCTGATCAAGTCACATGTCCAGTATCAGCAGACCGATTCAATGTTCAATCAAATAGCAAAGCTATTTATGCTTTGAACAATTAGAGGCAAATTGGCATTGAGCCATGTTTACTTCATGTGACATCTCTAGTTCAGCCTGAAATGAGTTTACTTCTAAATCTGTAAATCTCTTTTCTGAACTTCACTGCCAAGAGGCAATGATAGTGTCAGTAAAAGGCTGACATTAGAGGAAAGATGTTGTCACAGTCAATGTTTATATGTTATCCTTGTTTGATATTTTGTGTTTGTTTTGAGAAATGCATCATAAATTCTAAACTCAGGGTTTGTTCCATTCTTACATATTTTCTTTTGATTTCTACTTTAAAGACCGAGTTAGAAACAAAGCAAGAGGAATTCCTTAAGAAGAATGAGCAGGCATCCTCGGATCGCTGTTTAGCTCTGCTTCAGGATATTTTCAATCCATTTGAAGAAGACGTGAAGCAGGGGATTTATTACAAACCAGGGGGATACCATCTTTATGTCCAGAAGACACGGGAGCTGAAGAAAAAGTACTATGATGAACCCAGGAAGGGGGTTCAGGTAATGATGGTTACATGTGTGTTCTGGGGAGCCACTGACTTCATCCAGACCGCAGAGTGACCCCCAAGCATCATTATGAGAGTGTGCTAATGTTTGCATTGCAGGCATATGTTCCTTCAGCATAACATTGGTGCAGGTTGTCACACTACATATGCCCTGCATATTCAGAGACAGTGCACTCCCTTGACGATTGAGTTCACAGTTAACAATCATATTAACCACCAGTATGACTGTCACCCTGTGTATCAGATAGATTCTTTGTGTTGCAAAGGCCCAATAATAGTCCCTCAACAATCTTATAATTCATCAGTTTGTGCTCAGAATTAGCATTAAAAGACAACTGGCTGTGGTAATATCATCCCATGTCTGTTTTTCTGTTACTCTCACCCAGCCTTATATAGAGAGGGTCTGAGAATCTGAGAATATTCCACGACCTTCAGGGTTTGAGCAGGCCAAAAGTTTATTTTAAAAGCTGATAAATCAGGTAGGCGTCCAGTTTTTGATATGATATTTGTTGACACCCATTTCTGCTGTGCAGTCTATCTGCATATAATTGGGGGTTCTGGGATTAAGACAAAACCAAAATTTTTATGTGGGATCTGGAGAGGAGGAGTTTAAAAGGTTTAATACATAGTATCTCTCCTTCACATGCTGGAGCCCGAGTAGATATGACGATAGGGATGAAAACCACTCACTCATCCTGAACAGGGTCCAGTATTCAGTTAGGGGCAATAGGTTCTGGGATCCATTCCTCCTGTGGGGGAAACTTCTGAATGCTGAAAGTATTCCAGAATCTGGGAGGACGTGGTTGCTCATCCTGAGTCCCAAGTCTTTCTCGTTTCCCAGGCAGTGGACAAACAAACATAAACATTTATTTGGACCAGGCTTAGCTTTTCCACCTGCTGGCCAGATCCGAGTCCCTCTCTTCTCATAAGGTCTTTGTCCATCCATACTTCTTCACCCATGGCCCATGTGTCTAACATCTCAAGAGGAACAGTAATAATCCTCTAGAACCCCATAATTTAGTTTTCCTACTGGGCAAGCATAGAATGAATTTGTTGGCAAGCCAGTCTACAGAACAGGATGCCCACAGCCAAGTCTTGATACCCCTAACTACATCTGTGGGACCCCTGATCCTGGGGCAGGGGCTTCAAACCCAGCAGTCTGCAGAGATCTACATGGAACATGAGAGACCCATATGTGGTAACATTTGCTATCGTAGTCCAATCCCTAGTGTGGGATAGGGAACCATGACATCAGGACTGACATATATGGGTTGTTAGCTTTTATCAGATCCATTAGGGAGAATAGGAAATTCAGGTAGAAATGAATCTTAGCTATAGTGGGTCCTGTGGGTGGGGTCACATAGTCCATCTTTTGTTTCTGTCCTTGTTGGATCATGTAATGTACACAGGATTTAATTTCATGTACTTTCACTGTTGAGGGTGTGTTCAATATAACAGTATGGGATACCTTCCAGAGAGGCTGCAAACACTCCTTTTGTTGATTTCTGACCCAGTCAAGGTTTCCTGGCTTGTAGCTATGAGGTTTTGGGTGGGGGGTGGCAGCTCATATCCCTGCCATAGCAGACTCAACAATCTATGTTGGATGGGGTCCTCTGGCTTCAGTTGTACTATGTTTGGCTCTAGGTGCTGTCCTAATCCAAGTGGGTTATTCTCTGCCCAGATTAGTGGGAATTTTATTTGGAGCTCCTTCAATGGTGGCTGGGGGGTTCACTTGGCATTCCAGGGCTCCCTATCCCTGGGGATTAAAGAGGTATTCTTCCCCCTGGTAAAGAGCAACAAAAATTCCAGAGTTTGGAGCCTTCTTTTGAGGGAATTTTATGTTTATAGTATCATCTTTGAAGATCAGTTTGGGCAGCAAATCTCACTCCAGGAGGCAATAAGAGAATTTGGGGTCACTATGAAGGAATGAGTCACTGTGCCTCTCCCTAGATTGACCTCTCTTACAGTGGCTCATGGGTAATTTTGGTACACATAGAACTATGGATGAAAGTCTGTTGGGTAGGATTAGTGAACCCCTGGCTCCATTAGGAAGGATAATTGAGACCTTGCATCTATTGGTACTTTTACAAACTTTCCCTCTACTTTGAGAGTTTTCCTCACCTCCTGGAGGGAGACAAAACACTGACCTCCTGGGTTTTCTTCAAGTTTGAAAAATTTATTTGGATTTTTTTCTCTGACCAATTGTGGCACTCTGTTTGCTGATGTCCGAATACCTTACAAATCGTACACTGATTTTTTTGTAGCAGGGTCTGTCCCCAGCAGGCTCCAATCTCATGGGACCTGCTTTTTTGCCACCTCCCCCAGAATGCCATGTCTTTTGGCTGCGGTCCTCATTTAATGCAGCCAACATTACTTTTGAGTCTTCCAAGCCTTCCTCTCCTCCTGGTCCTCTCGTGACTTTCTACCAATTTTGAGACATTTGTCTCCCTCAAATCCCTCCAACTTCTCAAGCTTTTTACATAGTGTGAGGTGCAGATTGAGTCACAAATCTATGTTGATAGCCCTCCTGTTTTCTTCTGCTTCTGAGTCTATAGGAGAATAGGTGAGATACACTTCTATCAATTGGTCCAGAAAAGCAAGTGGGGACTCCTTGTTTCCTGGACTACTTGAATGAAAACCCGATATATCAGGGAGGGGACAGGTTTTGGATCCATACAATGCCCTCAAACAGGGACAGCAAGCAACTTAAAGGAAGAAAACCAGAAAGAGACAGCCCCCAAGATTCACTCAATCAAAATGTAATATGGGAAGAAATAATTGGGGGCTTTCATGGTGGCGCACTTTTAGCCTATCAGTGAGTCCTATAGTTTGTTGCTGTGGCTAGTGCTGGGGCCAACCAATCAGGAGGGGGGATGTCTGTGGATTAATTTTATCCTAGACACCTGTCAAGGGTGTTTTGGGTTGTAGCTAAGCCCCCAGAAATTGTGGGAAACATCTTAGGGCAGAATGAGCTGTGAACAAACTGTTCCTTCTACTAACTAGGATCTAATAATACTATCCTCTTTTAATCATCTCTCAGATCTTTTGTTCAATATGAAAGCTACAGCAAAATCACCCCTCCTATCAGCACAGCACCATTTTTCCAAAGTTAGAGCCCATAGTCTAGAAGGACCATATATTTGTTCAAAATGGGTCTCTAATAAAAGATTCCTCAGTGGGGTCCACACTGTGCTATGTATATACTTCTGTGTCTGGAAATCATAGCACCAAGAGACATCAGTAAATGAAAGGGGGGGGAGGGAGACAGGCACAAAAGTTTGTAGTCATTCCTGCTGTTAAATTCATGTTCTCTGTATTTGAAGGCTGAAGAAGTTCTGCAGACATGTGTGCAGGCCAAGGATGATGTGACTGACCTGGGAAGCTAAAGATGATATAAAAGAACAAAGCTGTGTCTCACTGCTAGTATTGGACATGGATAGGACAATGATGTCAGCGGTAACAATGCAGCAGGTGAGGAGCAGAGCACCACATGGTGCATTTACACTTTCCTTCTTCATTGCTTCCCCAGTGGAGCGTATGAAAGCTGAAGCTGCGCAGGCTACAGCAAAAATACAGGAGGAAATGCAACAGAAGATTGAACAGTTGCTGCAAGAGAAAGAGAAGAGCCATGAGGAGCACAGCAAACAGTTGACTGAGATGATGGGGAAGGCACAGGACCAGAATAAGAATATGCAACAGTTGGTTGAACAGTTGGTGCAACAGAAAGGAAAGAGTGATGAGGACCACAGGAAAAAGTTGACTGAGAAGGTAGATGAAGCACAGGCCAAGTTGAGAGAGTTGCAGAAGGAGAAAGAACATTTGCAGAACCAGATGAAGTGTCTAGAGGAAAAAATCAAACATCTGCCTGAGGAGAAAAAGAAGGAAAATCATGAATATGACCAACTTCGCGAGGTATTTAAATTACTGAAGTTGTTCTCTTCATTTAAAATACTGTAAAATGTGTGTGTTTGTGTGTGTGTGTGTGTGTGTGTCTGTGTGTGTGTGTCTGGGTGTGTGTGTGTATGTGTCTGTGTGTGTGTGTGTATGTATCTGTGTGTGTGTGTGTATGTTTGTGTGTGTTTGTGTGTGTGTGTGTGTGTGTGTCTGTGTGTGTGTGTCTGTGTGTGTGTGTCTGTGTGTGTGTGTGTATGTATGTGTGTGTGTATGTATGTGTGTATGTGTGTCTGTGTATGTGTGTGTATGTATGTGTGTTTATGTGTGTGTGTGTATGTATGTGTGTGTGTGTATGTATGTGTGAGTCTGTGTGTGTGTGAGTGTGTATTTGCACATGTGCATGTAGTATCTTTAAAGGGGATTCTGATTCCCTTGATCTGCAGTTATCGTTGCTTGTGAGCCCCTGACTTGGATGCTTGAAACTGATTTATAGTCTGTAACATACTCTTTACTGCTCCACCGTCTATCCAGCTTTCTGTTCTCTTCATTTTTCTTCATGTTGAAATGTCATGAAACCTAAAGGCTGACCAAGCCTGCTCCCTTGTGCTGTTTGCCCTAAATACCTGCTTGAAACCCTGATGCCGATATCTGGTGATTAAGTTAGTAATTGCAAATGTGTCATAATTGCTCCTATAGCAAAATGTATTTTACAATATAGTAGCTATGCTCTTTGTCTTTTTTAAATTTTTTGTAATCAAATTAGAAAAAAATCATTGATTTACATGACAATCCCAGTTCCCACTCCCTCCCCTCGTCCCCTACCACTCCCCTAACTAATACCCTACCTATCACATATCCTTTCTGCTCCTCAGGGAGTGTGAGGCCTTCCATAGAGGGTCATCAGAGTCTATCATATCCTTTGGGATAGGGCCTAGGCTCAGCCTGTGTGTCTTGGCTCAGGGAGTATCCCTCTATTTGGATTGGGCTCCCAGAGTACACACCTATGCTAGGGCTAAGTACTGAACTACATACAAGGAGGTCCTGTAGATTTCCAAGGGCTCCTCACTGAAACCCAGGTTCCTGGGGTCTGGATTGGTCCCATGCTGGTTAACCAGCTATCAGTCAGGGGACCAAGAGCTCCCCATTGTTCAGGTCATCTGTTTCTGTGGGTTTCACCAGTCTGATCTGGACCCCTTTGCTCATCACTCATCCTTCTCTGCAACAGGATTCCAGTTAAGTTCAGTGATTATTTGTGGGTGTCTGCTTCTAATTCCACCAGCTACTGGATGAGGACTATCAGATAGTATATAAGTCAGTCATCAATCTCATTATCAGGGGAGGGCATTTAAGGCAGCCTCTCCTCTGTTGCTTAGATTGTTAGTTGGTGTCATCTTTGTAGATCTCCAGACCTTTCCCTAGTGCGCAATTTCTCTGTAAACCTAAAATATCTCTGTATATTACGGTATCTCCTTTTTTCTTATTTTCTTATATTCTTTCTGGACTCAAAGTTTCTGCTCCTTCATGTACCCCTCACCCCTCCTCTTCTCCCCTTCTCATTCTCCTAGCTCCCTATCCCCACTTCCCTTGCTCCCAATTTGCTCAGAGATTTTGTCCCTTTGCCCTTCTCCAGGGATCCCCGTATGTCTCTCTTAGGGTCCTCCTTGTTTACTAGCATCTCTGGCAGTGAGTTTGTAGGCTGGTATTCATGTACTCTATGTCTAAAATCCACATATGAGTGAGTACATACCAGTTTTTCCTTTTGTGATACGGTTACCTGGCTCAGAATTTTTTTTTCTAGTTCCATCCATTTTCCTGCAAATTTCAAGATTCCATTGTTTTTTCTGCTGAGTAGTACTCCATTGTGTAAATGTACCACTGTTTCTCTAGCCATTTTTCTCTTGAGGGGCATCTAGGTTGCTTCCAGGTTCTGGCTATTACAAATAGTGCTGCTATGAACATCATTGAACAGATGCCCTTGTTGTATGAATGTGCACCTTTTGGGTATATGCCTAAGAGTGGAATTTCTGGATCTTGCAGTAGACTGATTCCCATTTTCCTAAGAAACAGCCATACTGATTTCCAAAGTGGTTGTACAAGTTTGCACTCCCACCAGCAATGGAGGAGTTTTCCTCTTTCTCTACGACTATCATTGGTGATTTTTTTTTTGGCCTTTCCAACAGGAGTAAGATGGTATCTCAGAGTTGTTTTGATTTGCATTTCCCTGATGGCTAAGGATGTTGAACACTTTCTTATGTGCTTTTCAGCCATTTTAGATTCCTCTATTGAGAATTGTCTCTTTAGTTCTGTTACCCACTTTTTAATTGTATTGTTTGGTGTTTTGGAGACTGCCTTCTTGAGTTCTTTGTATATTTTGGAGATCAGCCCTCTGTCAGATGTGGGCTGCAGCTTTGGGTGCAGTGTTGTCTTACTGACTGTGTACTTAGCCTTTCAGAAGCTTCTCAGTTTCAGGAGGTCCCATTTTTCAATTGTTTGTCTCTGTTTCTACTACTGCTGTAATGTTCAGGAAGCGGTCTTCTGTACCAATTAATTCAAGGGTATTTCCCACCTTGTCTTCTAATAGGTTCAGTGTGGCTGGATTTATGTTGAGGTCTTTGATCCATTTGGATTTAAGTTTTGTGCATGGCGATATATCTGCAGTCTTCTACATACTAGCATCCAGTTTGCCAGCACAATTTGTTGAAGATTCTATCTTTATTCCATCACATAAATTTAGCCTCTTTGTCAAAAATCAATTGTTCGAAGGTGTGTGGGTTAATATCAGGGTTTTCAACTCTATTCCATTGGTCTACCTGTCGATTTCTATGCCAATACCAGCTGTTTTCAGGACTATAGCTCTGTAATAGAGCTTGTAGCCAAGTGTTGCCTCCAGAAGTTCCTTTATTGTACAGGGTTGTTTTGGCTATTCTGGGTCTTTTGTTTTTCCATATAAAGTTAAGAATTGTTCTGTCAAGGTCTGTGAAGAATTGTGTTGGGATTTTGGTTGGGATTGCATTGAATCTGTAGATTGCTTTTGGCAAGATTGCCATTTTTACTATATTGATCCTACCTATCCAAGAACATGGGAGATCCTTCCATTTCTAGTATCTTCTTTAATTTCTTTCTTTAGAGACTTATTGTGTGCACTCAAAGATGATACATAGTCCGTAAGGCTAAGATTTCTTTATTCAGATAAACAGCAGCCCAAATGCAAGCCAGAGCGTGCCCATATTCCGAAAGCTAGTATGGCCAGAGAGAAGGACATCCACATGTTCATGGCCTCTTAAGAATTCTCTCCATGTCATCTTCAACCTCCCTTGACTATGCCATCACATGCGTGGCCAGGCACACCAGTAGGGGCTACTCAGAGGCGGGGCTACAATGTCTCCCTACAGAGACTCAAAATTCTTACAGTACAGGTCTTTCACTTTTTTTGTTTACATTACTCCAAAGTATTTTATGTTGTTTGTGGCAATTGTAAAGTTTGATGTTTTTCTGATTTCTATCTCCACCAATTTGTCATCTGTATATAGTAGGGCTACAGATTTTTTTGAGTTAATCTTGTTTCCTGCCACTTTACTGGAGGTGTTAATCAGCTGTAGAAGTTCCATGGTAGAATTTTTCAGGTCACTTATGTAGACTATCACATCATCTGAAAATAGTGAAAGTTTGACTTCTTCCTTTCTGATTTGTATCCCCTGGATCTTGTTTTGTTGTTTTATTGCTCTAGCTAGAACTTCAAGACTTTATTGATTTCAGCCCTCACTTTGATTATTTCCTGGCATCTGCTCCTCCAGGGTGTATTGGCTTCTTTGTGTTCTAGAGCTTTCAATTGTGCTGTTAATTTTCTAGTGTGATTATTCTCCTGTTTCTTCATGTGGGCACTTAGAGCTATGAACTTTTCCCTTAGCACTGCATTCAAAGTGTCCCATAAGTTTGGGTATGTTATGTCCACATTCTCATTGAATTCTAGGAAATCTTTAATTTCTTTTTTATTTCTTCCTCGACCAGGAATTGTGCAATTGGGGGTTACTTAATTTCCATGAGTTTGTAGGTTTTCTGTAATTTGTGTTGTTGTCGAATTCCAACTTTAAAGCATGGTGGTCTGATAACAAATAGGGGGTTATTTTTGTTTTTTTTGTACCTGTTGAGGTTTGCTATGTTGCCAAGTATGTGGTCAATTTTAGAGAAGGTTCCATGTGTCTCTGAGAAGAAGGTATATTGTTTTGTGTTTGGATGGAATGTTCTATAGATGTCTGTTAAGCACAATTGGGCCATAACTTCTATTATTTCCTTTGATTCTTTGTTAAATTTCTGTGTGGTGTTCCTGTTCTGTGGTGAGAGTGGGTTGTTGAAGTATCCCACTATAAGTGTGTGTGGTTTTATGTGTGCTTTGAGTTTTAGTAATGTTTCTTTTACGAAGGTGGATGCCTTTGTATATGGGCATAAATGTTCAGAATTGAGACTTCATCCTGATAGATTTCTCCTGTGATGAGTAGGAAGTGACCTCCTTCATCTCTTTTGATTGAATTTAGTTTAATGTTCAATTTGTTGGATAATAGGATTGCTACCCCTGCATGTTTCTTGGGTCCATTTGATTGGAAAATCTTTTCCCAACCTTTAATTCTTAGGTACCATCTGTCTTTGAATTTGAAGTGTGTTTCTTGTATGCAGCAGAAGGATGGATTCTGTCTTTTTATCCATTCTGCTAACCTGTGTCTTTTTATGTGCTGTGATAAGACCCATTAGTATGGAGGAATATTAATGACCATTGATTATTCATTCTTGTTTGTTTTGCATTTGGTGGTGGTTGTGAATCAATGTGTGGGTTTCCATCCCCTTTTCCTTTTGGCTTTTGTTAAAGTGGTATCATCTATTGTCTATATTTTTTCTGGTTGTAGTTAACTTCCTTGGGTTGCAGTTTTCCTTCCAGAACTTTTTGTAGGTCTGGATTGGTGGATATGTATTGTTTGAATCTGGTTTTGTCATGGAATATCTTGTTTTCTCCATCTATATTTATT